ATTAAGAGATAGCAAGTAATATTCAGCAGGAAATCAGATCTGATTCTCTTTATTATCAGGAACCATCCAGTATCTCACAAAGAGGCATGGCAGTCAATTGTCAATCGCTCTGTTAGAGGCCTAGGAGATTAACATACAACAGAATTTACCATGGCTGTTCAGCTATATGATTTCCAGAGTGTGCTGGTGAAATGGAGAGCCATAATATTTATCAGACTTAAAGACAATGCGAGGTATTTCAGCGTTCATGAAACATTTGTGTGGCCTTCTCCCTGCTGGTAAATCCACCTGTAGTTCAGATCTGGATGCTGGGCCAGCTCTACTATTAAGCTAAATTCAGTGGCTTCCTCAGCATTACTGAAAACATTCTGAAAATACAGGTGCACAGCTTGGGGGTGCTCCTGGATTTGTCTCTGAGCCTGGATGCCCAGGTTTTGACACTGGCCAGGAATGCCTTTGTACAATTAAAACTAGTGCACCAGCAGTACCAGTTTCTTCAGAGGTCAGATCTGGTCATGGTGATGCATGTCCTAGTTACATATCGGCTGGATTACTGTAACATGCTCTCTGTGGGGCTGCCTTTGGAAAATGGGTCCAACATACTGCAGCCAAATTGTTAAGTGGGGCTGGTTACAGGAAACAGATATAAACTCCCCTGTTACAGCTGCTTCATTGGCTGCCAATCTGTCTCCAGGCATAATTCAAAGTGCTGGTTTTAACCTACAAAACTCTGAACAGCTTGGCTCCAAGCTATTTAAAAAGCTGCATCTTTCTCTCTGCCTGTGCATTAAGATCATCAGGGGAAGCCTTTCTCTTGGTCCGACCACCTTCCACGCATGGTGGTGACACAGGAGAGGGCCTTCTCTGTTGCTGCTCCCGGAAAAACCTTTTTAATTATGTAAGCTGCCTTGGATCGTCTAAAGGATAAAACAAACAAACAATCAATCAAATAGCATCAAATGATTAGTTACTGAGAGTTCACTCACTCAGAAGTTTATTCTGGAATTATACAAATTTCTTTATACTGCACCCTGGCTGTAAATCACTGCCAGGCAAACATGTTTAGTTATCCCAGGAAGGCGTGTCTTATGTGTCCACACATCACTCAGCTCCATGTCTCCCTCACCATTTTCTGCCATTATTGCCACCCTTTTACCCACCCTTTCACTATCATTCAAATCCCCTTTCTCCCTCTTTTTTTTAAATGTTTAGCACAGGAAATAGCATGGAACTGACAGGATATGGTAAGGTTTTGAATTAGTCCTGCATCACTTTGGTGCTGTGGTAAAAATGAAGATTTTTTTTAAAAAAATAATAATTACCAAATTGTATTACCATTGTTGTCTTTACCAGTGTGACTAGAAGGCCAGATGAAGGATTAGGGTTCACCCCAACACCATGCCTCACTCTGTGCACAATCAGATATGTTATCTAGACATGGACAACAACAGCCCTGAGGGACCCATATAGATGGTCACACAAGCCAAAAACAAAACAATGTGTGCGAGTGAAAATGCTGCAAAGAAAAGCAAAAGCATGCTGGTTGAACAAAAATATGCTGCAAATGTGTGCAAAAAATTCAGATTTACTCGCAATTAGCACTAATGTCATGCAGAAAATAGAAAAGAACAGTGCATAACAGGAGAGCAAACATCAGCCTAATTACTCCTTCAGTTGGTAATTGTTCTCTCTTTACTGCCAGGGGTGGGGAGAAGTCTTGTTGGATTTTCTGTGTCATGTGCCAGAAGGACTTGACTGGTTTTAGATTCTATGTATTGTGAAGTCATAAGTGAGAGGGGTCTCTTTTTGTTGCTGCGCCTCAGGCAGCAACATAAAATGGATTCAAGAAAGAGGCAGAGTGTAAAAATGCCTCTGCAAAACAAAACATAAGAGCTCATTCTCTTGTCACAGATGCTGATGTAGAGATTTGCACCCTGATAAGGCCCATGATTAATCACAAAGGCCTGACAAGTTAAAGCATATGGTTTCCTTGCCTCCTATGTTGTAGTTAGGCCTCTATAATGGGAAAGGAAACCTGATGCCATCCAGATGTTTTAGATATGAGCTTCTAAGAACTTCAGCCAGGATGGGTCATTATGTTTTTGATGAAGAGAACTGTAGTTTTTCTTTTCAGCTGTAGTAACATGTACTGTAGACATCCTTCAATATTGAGAGACTATGGTAACGTGCTCTGTATGAAGGACTTGGAACAGCATCTAGTGTGGCTGAGAAGGCCAATTCAAGAGTGGCAATCCTTTCCACACTGAAGACAAATACAATCTGTTCCCTGTCCAGCTCCCTGATTTTGCTGCTTTCGGGACTGACTCTTTGCCTCGGCCTACTGGACAAGTGCCTTGTTCACTGACATGATAAAAGTTATAATCCTAAGGATTTGTCCGAATCAGATACAGTACATTGTTCCTAGCTTGCTGCAAGCAGAGGGGAAGTGTAAAGTGCAAAAAAGGAAAAGTTTTCTATAAAATAAAGGCTTTTTTTAAAAAAGGAAAAAAAATAGCAGGCTTCCCAGTGTAGATAAAGCTGCTGTGCTTATTCAGTGAAGGAGAAATTGGGGGGAAAAGCACTTCAGTCGCCAGTTTGCCTTGTATAACCAACATCAAAAACCTACAGCAAACTTGAGACTGAATCTTCTCAGCTTGGTGCAGCTGGCAATCCCTCCAGCACTTACTCATAATTATGGGCAAATGTTCCATTCCTTCTCTATCACACTCTCTGTTTTAATTACAAGCTAAGCCTTAAGCAAGCAGACCAGGTTTTGTCAACTGTGTCCAATGTGCTGGAGAAAATTAAGACACATTTTGGAAACTTAAATTATAAATGAATTCAGAGTGCTGATGGAAAGTGACAGGCTGTAGGCTCTGGAGGCAGACCGTCAGGTGATGTCACAGATGATGGCCAATCCTCTGCAACAGAGGAGAAGCATGCAAAGCATGCAAAATACAAAATTAAGGGTGGGTGGTATCTTTTTTGGACCACTAAAATGTTAAAAACTGACAAGCTTTTAATTGCAGGGTATAGGGAGGTGGGGAACATGTGCGGCTTTGAGTAATTAGCCTCCTAGGATAGTTTTACATGTTGCCAAGGATCCACAGTAACATTCTCTATATTTGGCATGGCAACTTTTCTCCAAAAGCACCCTTGGTAAGTGTGACAAGTCCCAATCTTCCTGCCAAGACTTAAGCTTAAGAAGGGTTAGAGGATCACTGCTCCTCATGGTGGGAAGTCATTATGGAAATTAGGGTCATTGGTGGCTGGCAGCAAGAATAGATATGTTCCTTCTCTTCCCCAAAGCAGTGTAGCTCTGTATATCACTTCATACAGGGGAGATGTCTGGATCTTTCTGTGTTCTCACAGGGCTGAACTATACGATGTTAAGTATACTGTCATTAGAATCTGAAAGGGCATCAGGGACTTAGCATCCTCCAAGCTTCACAATAGATTTGCAATGAAGCCCCTCAGGCAATGAAGCCCCTCAGGCAAATAGAAGGGGAAGATATGGAGGCAGTGTCAAATTTTATCTTCCTGGGCTCCATGATCACTGCAGATGGAGACAGCAGCCATGAAATTAAAAGACGCCTTCTTCTTGGGAGGAAAGCGATGACAAATCTTGACAGCATCTTGAAAAGCAGAGACATCACATTGCCAACAAAAGTCCGAATAGTCAAAGCTATGGTTTTTCCTGTCGTGATGTATGGAAGTGAGAGCTGGACCATAAAGAAAGCAGACCGCCGAAGAATTGATGCCTTTGAATTGTGGTGCTGGAGGAGGCTCTTGAGAATCCCCTGGACTGCAAGGAGAACAAACCTATCAGTTCTAAAGGAAATCAACCCTGAGTGCTCACTGGAAGGACAGATCCTGAAGCTGAGGCTCCAGTACTTTGGCCATCTCATGAGAAGAAAAGAGTCCTTGGAAAAAACCCTGATGTTAGGAAGGTGTGACGGCAAGAGGAGAAGGGGACGACCGAGGATGAGATGGCTGGACAGTGTCTGCGAAGCAACCAACATGAACCTGACACAACTCCGGGAGGCAGTAGAAGACAGGAGGGCCTGGCGTGCTCTGGTCCATGGGGTCACGAAGAGTCGGACACGACTAAACGACTAAACACACAACACCCTCAGGCAAAAACAAAAGAAAAAGAAAAAAGACAGTAAAGTTGTGGCACCTTAAAGATTATCTGTATATTTTAATGCAAGCTTTTGTGGATCTTCACCCACTTCTTCAGGCATATGAGGGGGAATACAGAGATCACAAAGTAAAACAGGGTCTAAGAGACAGCGGCAAATGGTTGTATTTCACACATGCAGCAATTTATTACCTCTGTTTTGTGTCAATTTCTTCTGAAGTCCAGTTCTGTAAACATTTTAACAAGAGACAGAAAACCAGGCAAAAACAGAGCGAGAGAGAACTTGAAAGATCAACTATAAGCAGTAATATGATTAAAGGAAACCAGCTGGAACAATGAAGCCCATGTTTACCTCCTGATGAGCAATTACAAAACAGAGCAAACTAAATTGCAAGGTGTGGGGAGTGGAAAAAACTATGACAACCAGCTTTTTTTTAGCAGTTAAGGAGTTCCTGCTTCTAATGGACTGCCTGTAGCAGATAGTTTGGTGCCTAGTTGCATTGTGCTTTGTTTGTTTAGTCATTAAGTTGTGTCTGACTCTTCATGACCCCATGGACCAGAGCATACCAGGCCCTCCTGTCTTCCACTGCCCCCTGGAGTTAGGTCAAATTCATGTTGCATTGTGCTTCTGTGGTCTTTTGTGTACCTGAAAGGCACAGCAATTCCCTTTCCTCCTGCTCCAAGGTGGAGGAAGGAAAGGTGAACAGAAAATTATTGCAAGGAAAACAATCCTGATCTTGCACAGACTTTGCGGAAACCAAACAAATTGAGCTGGCTGCCAAGGCCAAACAAAAACTGTGTGGAGCATTGCACATTACACAGCGACAAATACAAATTCATCAACAAAGTGAATACTCACCGGGGAATTGTATCTGATCCCATCTCTCTGATGTGACTCCTTGCACAGGGCCTGTCTTCTCAAACCTCTGGTTATATCATTCACACATTACCACTTAGATGCACAACTTTAAAAGGGGAAACCTCTAGACTGTTTTGCCACTTTATAGAATTTGTTGCTGGACAACATTTACCCTGTTTCCTGGCAACTCTGACTTGTTTCTCAAAGTCTCCTTGCAGTGTTTCAGCACACCACAAAAATGTTATTGGAAAGACCGCATTTGCATTGTTACAGTTTCACAACACAACCTTATTTGGTCAACCTCCTTTAAGAAAAGAAAAGGGGAAAAAAATCCTCCCTCTGTCTCCTTTTTAACTCCTTTTACTTTCGGGAGACAGCTTTCAATTTAAAAAATTGTTCTCTAAGAAGTATAGAGCTGCCTTAATTGGCTTTAAAAAAACACCTTTTGCTTGCTTCCTATGCTCAACTGAGGAGCAGAAAAAGAAAGTTTTTAATTTCCCAATTTCCCAGTATCACAAAGTAGTTAAGCTAGCTGCTTAAGCAACTAATGATATGAGGAAATTGAAACGAGTTGGGAAATTGGTTTGATCCCAGCAATTGTGCATTTTGGTAACAGATCGAAACAGAGCGATCCTACCTGCACCTAAAAAAAGAGTAGCGACTAACAGGGGCCCAGAAAAGGGAGGGCAAGAACGATATAGTGATAGGTTGGCTATAGGAATTTCATCATCTGATTGTCAGGAAAAGAAGTGAACCAGCTCATCTGTACAGTGGAACAAACAGCAGGCCAAATGCCTTTGTAGGCACCCCCAAAATTTCCTGTAATTGCCCTTGTCATAGCCTTCAAGATGTTCAGCCAAACTGGACCAAACTTGCTAACAACAGCTTAGACTCCAGTCCTGTGCCATTAATATACTATATTCACTTACTTTGGAAAGCTACTCAAAGAAATAGAACTGTTGGTCTATTTCAGAATGTGTAATAAAAACAAAATGAAACAAAAACAGAGCAAGAATAAAACCACTACGGCATCTTTAAGACTAACAGATTTACTTCAGTATGAGCTTTCACAGACTACAATCCACTCCCTCACATCTACTTTTGTGCTTGTGTCTTTTTGTTCTTGCGGTACCTGACTTGAGAAAGAAGCCACACTGAATTCCACAGAACTTACCTCTGAGTAGAGAGACATGCATAGGATTGCACTGTGAATCCTGCGATGAAGGCTTTCAAATGCAATCTGTTTCTCACCCACAATCTAGATTTGTTCTAGCCAACACAGAAGCAGTTTCCTTCTATTCCATCCCAGCATATGGCACTTTTTTTGTTTTGTTTTTTTGGCACTTAGGAAAAGACTTCTGCTAGGCTTCATACTAGCTCTCTTCCTAAAACTGCAACAGCCAAATATAACACTGGGTATGTGTGTGTTTTTTTCTTTTTACACCCATTTAGCAAATTACAGCTCCAGCTAGATGTAAAGCCTGAAGGACCACCCGGAATCTTACATAAGAGTACTAGAAGTGAAATATTTATCAGATGGATTAAATAATAAGTGGAAGGTCACGTGTGAAGAAGAAGATAGGTACACTAGCACAAAAAGAAGGCCAGGAAGTGAAGCGCTCAGCTGCAAAGTCCTCTGAAAATGAAGAGGGGCTGAAGTGTTCTGCGATTCTTAAATCACCCGTAGATCTTTCTAGCTGTTCAGCACAAGAGAAGAAGAATTATTGTACTGCACTGTCAATATGTTCACAGCTTGTTCTATTGTTGTTCTTGAATCAGACTGAGCAATAATCTACAAAAGGTGCTAGCCTCTCAGCCTGCACATGCCCCTGTTTGTCTGAAAACAGGAGAGAGAGAGAGAGAGAGAACAATGTTTATCAAGTACTTTAGTCTCAAAGGAGCAATTCCCTCTTGCCATACGTGACTAGGCAAGAGGCTGTTTATTAATCTCCATTCGGTCCATTTGTTCATGAGAAAGGGGAATCCAAGCAACCTACACAGAACAGATATTATGTATTCTTTGAATATGATGGTCTTGCAAAGTTATGTGCAAAACTTGCATGGCCATTGAATGCTATTTCTATGGCAGAAATATAAGAAGCCTTTTTCTCTTTACAGCCACAGATGTTATGACTTTGGTTTTCTTCAGTACTGCTATTTATTTACCAAAAGGACCATACAGAGGAAAGTCCATTGTAGAAAATTAATTAGAATCCTATATGCAGTACTGTACCATCTGCAGGGAGAAATAAATCCACCTTATTGTTGAACGTTTTTTCCTCGCAAGGAAAACAAGGAGAGCAAGGGCCTCACATCACAAGGCACTACCTTTCTACAGTGTAAAACATTTAGAACATAAGATTGTATCCCACATTCTTTACATCTATTTTTTCTTACCTGTTGGGCATCTGTGAGGTATATTTTTTATCATCGTTACCTGTCGGTATAGTATAGGACTAGAAGGTCTGTTTGTCACAATGTTGATATGCTGTTTGCAATCAGGGAATAAAATAAAATCGTACAGAAACTTTTCAATATCATACATAATAAAAGTCACAAAAGCAGCAAAATCAGGGAGCGTGTATACTGTTTGTAATCAGGGAATAAAACAAAATCGTATAGAGATTTTTCAATATATACATAATAAAAGTCACAAAAACAGCAAAATCAGGGAGCTGGACAGGGGACAGATTGGATTTTTCTTCAGTGTGGAAGGGATTGTCTCTCTCGAATTGGCCTCCTCAGCCACACCAGACGGTGTTCCAAGTCCTCCATACAGAGCATGTTACCATAGTCTTTCGAGACTGAAGGATGCCTAACTAACTAAAAACACCCCCTGTACCAGGGCTGGGAAAATATGAAGCATCTGCACAATATTTTACATAGGGAGACAGTCAGAATCAGCATTGCTTTTGCAGGCCTCACCCCAATTTCCAGTTGTTAAATGTGTGAGAATCAAACACAGGGCTTACACACCTGCTCATCCAAACAGATACCAGAACATGTTGGCTTTAAATATGTCGTCTCCATCCTGAAAAAAATACACAAATTAAAGATCAGAGATGATGCAAAGCATGGTGTACACACACTGAGGCAGGACCAATGGAAAAAAGTGTGATCAATGATTGAAGGTCTGGTGCATGGCTAGTAGATACTTCTCCATCATGCTTTTGTTTGTAAACACTCTGAGCATCCATATGAGTCTGGATTTTTCCAGCCATAGAGTTTTTATGTTTATTCACACACCAGGTTGCTTGCCAGGTTCTTCCTCTTCTTATTTGTCCAGGATTATTAGGCTGCAGAAGATGCTCACATGGAGCTAACCATCTCATGACATCCCATACGTTCAGTCAATGCACTAGACAACTGAAATGCTGATTAAGCATTTTTTAAAAAATCCCCAGAGGAAGAATTCTGCTGTTCTAATGTGTCTTCCTTCTCTTCATTATCTCACACAGGCAAACTCTGTGCAAATCTCTAACGCTGACGGCTAGGAAGGGAGGTTCAGCTTATTGTAAAGGGACACACACAGAACAGCAACCCTCTGGAGGCAGGCTTAGAAGTATCAATTGATCTGATCAGGAATACCTACTAACTAAATATCCATCATTACGATGTAAAAAAAGAGCACCCCTCTACTAAGTGTTTTCTTTTGATCACATTAGAAGGGGCAAAAGAAAATTGGCTTATGTCTCTAGAATCACAGATGACAGACTAATTGAATTGGAAGAGGCCTAAAAGGCCGTCAAGTGCAACTCCCTGCAGGAATCCAAATCTGACATATGGTTGTCCAATTTTCTTTTGAATGCCTCCAGCATTAGAGCACTCAACCCCCCCACGGTAATTGGTTCCATTGTCATACTGCTCTAACAATTAAGAGGTTTTGCCTGATATTCAGCCTAAATCTGGCTTCCTGTAGCTTGAGCCAAGAGCTTGCCAGGTTTGGAGGGATAGGAAGCAAGAAAGACAATATTTTTCACAATTCCCACTTCTGTCCTTCTTTCCAGTTCTTAACCTCCATAATCCACTGACAAAGAGATGTTAAGACATTTGTGTGTCAGCTTCTAGCATTTGTATAGCCCTCACAGTGTAGCTCACAATGAAAAAAAAAGCTCTAATTAAAATACACATTAATGGTCAAAAAACATAGCAAATCAGTATCACAAGGAAGCAATAAACCTCAGGCATTAGAACAGTCGTTTCCGCCCTTGGGTCCCCAGATGATCTTGGACTACAACTCCCAGAAATCCTGGCCAATACAGCTAATTATGAAGGCTTCTGGGTGTTTTAGTCCAAGAACATCTTGCAATGCAAGGTTGGGAACCAATGCTTATGACATTTGGGCTTTTTAAAGCACAAGTCTTTCTTTTAGGTGTATTTACACAGCAAGGTACAAATTTGTCACAAAGCACAAGTCTTTCTTTTAGGTGTAGGTATTTACACAGCAAGGTACAAATTTGTCATCAGAGATCATCCAACAGTATCTGCGAAGGGAAATGTGAGCCAGTCTTGCAACAGTGAGGCCTGGTTCCATGTGGTGTGCCATGTTTCAGATTTGGGTATGTGAATTCAGGCAGGTACAGATTGAGGCAGCTGCAATTAAGCCTCTCCTCACTCTTGTAGCCCCCGAAAATGCTACACAGAGTGCTAGAAGGCTTTGTTAAATGGGCTGAGGTATGGTACAGGTGAGAATGGAGGAGCCCCTGGAAAATGATCAGAGAGGTGCCTACCTGTACTACGTGCAGAGCCTTTGCATCCACAGAAGGCAGATCCTTGATGCCCATAAAAACGCACATACTCGCTCAGTTCTTTTATGGATGGATAAAGAATCTGTTCCTAACTTATGCAGGGAATAAAAGCAACAAAGGGTCCTTGGAAAAGTCTTCAGTTGGTCATTTTTGCTGCAACAGAATAACACCTTGGGGGCTCAAAAACGTCCTTCCTACATAAGGCTAAATGGTCTCAGAGGTTTTGAAAACATCCACATTTCCACAATGGAGTCGCCTCCCACAATGAATTCTGCATGTCAGACGGAGCAGCCAAGCTAGAAGTGGGCATCACAAAGCACTTGTGGTTAATTCATCATCTCAGCTGTCTTCTACCTTTCATTATTGATGACCATATTTCACAGTGTGCCTTTTGAACATACCACAGGACCATTTTCTGTGAAAGTCATGAAAAGATGAGAGCACAGAAAACAGCCTCCTGAAAGGTAGCATTTTGCCAAAGAGATGAAAAATAAAGACTCAAAAGATATCATCAGAAGTGCCATGGTGTCATGAGATTGAAGGAGAATAGGACTTGTAGTCAGAGATTAAAGAATAGTGAGAATTGTAGTCAATGAAGAGGAGAAAAAAATGGAGTCTGTTAGGTTTAAAAATGAAAGGAAGACATGGGAATGTGAGAAAGGCAGAGAAGTTGTTTTTCTTAATTTACAGCCAGCCTGGTACAGCGTGAATCCTGATAAGCGTACAAAGACGAGGAGGGCAAGAGAGCACAGATCCAACAAATTCTTTCCTAATTGAAATGGAGATAAACCACCTGCATTTTCATGAGAATTGTGGGTGGAATGGACAGTTATGCTTCTTTGAGTTGATTGGTTTATGGTCAAGAAGAAGGAGGTCCAGAGAATGTAGAAAATGTGGGAGAGATTCTTGTTCGATTCCAGATCCATGATGATGAAGAAAGAATTTGATGGTTTGAGTATGTAGCTTGAAGGAAGAATATAAGTAAAGGAAAGGAGGTGGGGCTAGCCCACCTTAGCCCAGTTTAGTGTTTGTTATTTTTAATAGGAATTAGTTGTTGCATTTAACTGTGTATTCTTTTGAACATGTTCTTTATTCTATGCTTGAGCAAAAGCAGTTTCTGTGAAACTATATATTTTCCTAATAAAAAAATTAATCATAAAAATCTTCACTAAGAATTGTCTCTTAAATCAGCGGGTCTGGCTAAATCGAGAGGACTGGTAACGGCCATTGACTAGCTACCAGAGAAGTCCTAATTAACTGAGCAGTTGTGAGTTCTAAGGAGCTACAAAGCCCATGTGTCTGTACTTGCAAAGTACTTTGTAAAAGTAAAGTGTTCTTTCAAGGTCAGGCTTATACTAGGTACAAAGACCACACACTGCTGGAGGTTGAGGACTTGCCCCAGCGTAAAGGTGGATTTGTGGCGGAGGGGTTCCCTGACTGAAGGATCCATGCTTTTTAGGGAGATTTGGTCCTGACACATGGCATTGTAGAAAATAACTGGTGCTTGTACATGTATTCTACTCTAGTGATTTTCATTTGTAAACCGAAAATTATGTTAACCGAGGCGTTTGTAAACCGAGGTACCACTCACTGTACCTGTTAGCTCAGTGGTTTATGTATCTGGCTGCAGAGCCAGAGGTTGGAGGAGTTTCTTTCCCCACTGTTCCTCCTACAAGTAGAGCCAGCCTGTTTAGCCTTGGGCTAGCTGCACAATGGCAAATCACTTGCGAAAATTGACTCGAGACAGATCATGATTATTATTTTATTATTTGTTGGCAGCAAATAAGATGAAACACAAGCTTCCTAATTAGAAAGTGGCAAAATGTTTTCCTTCTAGAATGGCATGATTCTAGCAAGACTGGCCCAACACAATTGCAAAGGCTGTTCTTGCCTCCCGCTGGCCAATCTCAGTACAATCTCAGTACAAAAGCAAGCTGCTTTTCCAGTTGTGGAGAACAGAAACCTCTCACTAGGATAAGGTGAACGCAACCTCTTAATAGTTCTGCTTCTAATGATTGATGTGATGTGATTTCGTGCTCCCAATTATTTAACAATGGCACTTCAAAAGAACTGTGAGTAGGAGTAGATCTGTGTATGGAAGGTCAATTGTTAAATTCTTTTACATAGAACCAATTCCTGGATATAATTATAATCTATACTAGGCCAGTCTGACTGATCTGCATTTGGGAGAAGAACGTTTCATTGTGTTGAATTCACCTAATCCTAGGTAAGCCAACTCTCCTCTTTGCCTTTAGGGAACCAAAGAGTGGAGATAATTTCTTGTGTTTATTTGGGGTGAAAGTTATAATACAAAATGAACGGATCAATGTTCCTGTTTTCAGTGAACATGTGTCAACCATCTCACTTACCTCTAGAACAGGTGAGGGGGGAAAGAGCTAGAGAGAGAGAATAAAGCAGAAAAGAGTTTGGAAAGAAACTGAATGCATATCTCATTGAATGTAGATTTTACAGTCCGAGTACTAATCTAAAAGTGAAAGGAGTTGATCTGTGGCCTGAACTGCTTTTTGACCATAAACGTTTGCTTTAAAGTGAAGGGCTTCTCTTTGCCTTGAAGAATATACTGTATATAATGTGTTTCCCTGAAAATAACACCTAACCTGATAATAAGCCCTACAATGATTTTTCAGGATGCTCGTAATATAAGCCCTACCCCCAAAATAAGCCCCGGTTAAGCGAAACCCCACCCTCCACCCTTGGGCAGCAACCAGAATATGACTGTATTTGAATAAATGTAGATTGTTGTACCTGAAAACAAATAAAACATCCCCTGAAAATAAGCCCTAATGTGTTTTTTGGAGCAAAAATTAATATAAGACCATGTCTTATTTTCAGGGAAACATGGTATATAGAACTGTGGTATAAAAATACAGAAAATATGTAATGTGATATCAAAGCCCTCACAGAAATAGCTCTGAATACCTTCAATAAATGTGGTGGTTTAAACTCATTTCTGTTCTTATTTATCTTCTTCACTGATTATTCTGTTGCTTCCTTGTGCTACCCCCTGCTGGAAACAGAAAAATACTACATCTTTATTTCTTGCATTTCTCAAAAAAACTGGCTGAGCTGAAGGCCACATTGTAGAAGAAACTTGTTGAACCTTACGAAAAACAAGTGAACTAAAACTGACATTATAGCATTATGGAGTTATGGCTGGAGAATTCTGGGAATTATATTCCAAAACGGAAACCTTTCCAAGCCCTGGTTCTTCTTAGGAGATTAATCATTAGGCAGCTCTTTTCTAGAGATGAACCTTTGAACAGTGCAGAGGTTGAATGTAGTGCCCTCACCAGTTTTACCTCAGGAAGTTCATTAAATACCAACCAGCTGCTATGAAGGCAACGAAGCATTTAAAAAGGAAAAAAAAGGCAAGACATTGAAAAGCTGAGAGGAAATGAAGTGGAAATATTTATTAAAACTAAAAGCACAAATCATGAACAAGACTTGTTATTTTTTAAAAAAGGCACACACATAAGTGCATTTCCCCCAGTTCTGAGGCACTAAGGTTTGTCGAAGTGTTCTGCAACACATCTAGCTGTCTTGTCACCCAGAGCTCCTGGCTGGCCATGTACAAAAATGGTGCAATGCTGAAGAACCACTACAATATCCCAATAGCCTCTAGCCAGTCATCTCACCATTGCTTTCTCTGAATGCTCAGATTCTACAGTACTTACACTACAGCATCCACCTCAGGGCACATTCCACTCCTTTTGCTGGGGCTGAAGATACTGTTGCTGTGCTTTCAATTTTAATAAAAAATGTGACACAAGCAGACTTCCATTTGGACTTGTCCATGTTTCTCACTTGAAGGAGAAAACACAGACCTGCTGGAAAGAGAACCTCACACACACTTAACAGTTAAGTCCTGATGTTGTTGCTTCTGCAGATTTCAAGGCTTGTTATACTGAGCATTACTATGTGCTACCACTTGGGTTACACAACCAGGGAGACAGCCTGCTTGTCCCCATCTCTTGGGCTTGACTCTTGGGCTCCTACCAGTAGAACTTCCTGCAGCTGCTTTGGGCTTCAAGTTGCTTGGAATACCATTATGCAGGACTCTTTTCACAGCAGGGTCCTTATCCATAAGCAGTGAGGTTGACCCCCATGCTCCTCATTTGTTTTAATTGCTACACTAAGTGGCTGAGTATCCCCCTTTGTAACTGCTAAGATGTTCTGACTAAAGGCCTTTAGATCACCATTTCAACAGAAGGTCCTGCAGATAATATCTCCACATTTTTGAGTTTGATTCTTCCACCTTGCACCAGACACATTCATCTCACAGGCTGTGTAGTATTGGTAGTTTTACATCTTTACCCAAGCTGAGTGCTTTGCATTTCTAGATTTTCTCCCTCTTGAAATACAGAAGCCTTATTAAGGTTGTCTTCATTACCTACTTTCCATATTTCCTGTGGTGACAACTGCTGTCTCTGGCAGTAAAACCCCCACTGCTGTTTGGTGTGTCTTAACACACATAAGGTAATAACTCAAATGGAATAAAAGCCTTTTTTTTTTTACAAATAGTCACCCTTTCTAACCTCTGGATCACTCCACCACAGGATTGGTTATCTACAGAGGCAGGATAAGAGAAACATGAAGCAAGTCACCTGAAAAGCAAATGTGGGAGAGCCTTCCATTTCAAACAGAAGCTGAATGCTGAAGGATGGATGAAAACAATGCATTCTGAAATTACGAAGGAAGATAGCAGCCATCTTGCCTCTGAATGTCAGTAAAATATAAGTTTGCTGCTTACCACAATGAATGAGAAAGGTCCAAAGCAGGGCTGAGGAAAATGCATATCTTTCCACTTTTATTCAGCTCCAACTCCTCTTTGCCTGAGCTAGGCTGGCCAGTGGTGAGGCATAGCATGAAAATTAGTTCATTAGTATCTGCAGTGTTACAAGTTCTTAACTCCTGGTCCACAGGCAACTAACTCTAAAAGAGACTTATGGAACTGAGGCATGCCAAGAAAAATTACTGAATCTGAGAAGTCATTTTTGCTTCATTCCTAGATCCTCAATTAAAAGCAACAGCTGTTCTCTGGAAGGCATCTGTGTTCCAAAGGAGAGACTACCTGAAAGTGACTGGAGCTCTGAGGACATACATTATGGGGGAAAGTTGCTCATGTAAATATGAACAGGCTCCTACATTGCTGGTTATTTGAAATACAAAGTAAGGCCCTGACTGGGATAAAGGTGTAAAAAAGAGAACATGTCACCCTTGCTAGAGCAGGGGTGGTGGTGAAAATATAGCTCTTAGCAATGGGCTCAAGACAGACTTTGTTACATATATTCAGCAATATGACAGACTGAGAGTTGGGACAGTAAGCTACTTCTCTTTAAGCATTTGCTACAGAGCCTAGGCTAGAGGGTTATTCTTAAGTATTGGTCACTTCAGCGTTGCTTGATCTCTCAACACAGTAGGTGAGGAGGGAATCTAAGTAGTAGATGCACTACAAACCTCCATCACGATATGTAACCACTTGCCCAATTAAATTTGACCCCAAGATTACTGCTGTATTTGACAGTCAGGAAGACCCAGCTCTGGAGAGGCGTCATTCCCACATAACCTCTCAACTCAGGAAGAGTTTTGGTCCCATTTAGGATAGCCCAAGACCAGATGCCACAATGGGATGAGAAGCCTTCTCATTACTCCCACAAGCCCACATGGCTTCTCTTCCATATATAACTAGCCCAGATGGTCAAAATAGACCCATCAACCTACCGCCATAAAGACTTCCTACAGACATCAACTTGAGTATTAAAGCTCTCCTCAGCCCACACACAAAAATACAAAAACACGTCACACATATACACAAACACATACATACAATGTGGCAGCTGCCTTTTTGTAGAGCAACAGAAGCTCCTGCTAAGCAGGAGCTGACTTTGGCGAGTTCCAGTTGATTAAAAAAAAAGTAGTATTTATTGCGGAACTTAGGAAAATTACTTTTTTGTAATTCCCTGAAGGCCCCAACTAGCAGGGCCACTAGCTACTAGCCACATGGGCTGGCATATTCTGGGAAGTGTAATCCAAAAAAGTTCTAGTCCCAAGAAATAGAAAGGCACCCAAGGAGCAGCACCAATTACTATTTTGCCACATGCTAGCCACAACTCTTAATCAAGCTGGCAACATTTACACCTTTCGAGTTTCACTAAAAAGCCCCCTTCCACATTGACTTCTTACAGCTAGATCTACTCATCAACATAGATAAGTCCAGAATAGAGCCAGTCCTTACTAAAACTCATATACTAGCCCAGTGTCTCTCTTTTTCTCTATCTCTTTCTCTCCATCCCCAACCCATCCCCAAACATTTCTCTACAACATGAACCTGGGGTTCACTTTCTACCAATAAATAACATTTCAATAGAGCAATCTTAATCAGTCACACTCCATCGTGTGGATGGCATAGTCAGCAACCTCTTGTTATCAGGTCCCAATAGCTCATCTACACAATCCACTAGCATATTCGTTCTCAAAACCTTTGTCCCTCCATTTTCAATTGCTAGGTTAGCTAATCTAACAGGATAAAAGATGGCCCTCTTTCCCACATATTTGGGCCTGCAGAATTCTACTTCATGCAGCCTCCTTCACAGATACTTTTCTTGCCTTTCAAAAGTACTGGGTAGAGCCACATAAATAATAAATAAATAATACAAATTCCTGAAATCTGGATAATCCCACAGTGCTTCGCATGGGGAAGGCAGGAGCAATGTGAAGGCAAGAGTCAGCATCTCATAGTTTGCTTCACAAGGAACAACAGGCAGTCTCATAAGAAAAGGCCTTCATCACTTGGCTTACCATATTATCTGGGCTACAGCCCCTTAAGCAAGCCTTATGGCCTCTCCCCCTGCTCACATAAAATGTTGCAGAAACATTTACTCCCTGCCTTAATTCTTTTCCACTTGCCTTATCCGTCTTCTGCACAACGATAAGGACAACCGAACACACTGGCCACCTAGGCAACTATTCTTAAAAAAAAAAAAAAGACACACACACACACACCCCTATCCCATCCCCAAATATGTACACATCCCATTAGAGTCTGGGGGAGGATCAGAAGCTTTCCAAGAAAGGGTGGCGGGGGCGGAGGGAGTAGGGGAGGGGGAAAAAAAAGCCCAAAATAAATAAATAGTCTATACAGAACTCTCCTTAAAGCTTTATCATGAGTAACTCCAAGAACAAGATCTGTGTTAATCTTCAGCAAAAACTTAAGCTCTTATTCTTTGATACCTTGTATTCAGAAAGCTCACCTCCCCCTTTCAAACAGATTTTTTAAAAAAAAAGATGGGGTGGGGGAAAAAAAAGAAAACCCTTCACCTTTCTAAGCACGTCTAGTTACCCATTTTGCTTCGCCAACTCCAGCAGCTTGTCTTTAACAAAAGACTCCCTTGGTGCCACCCGGTCCAGATTCACCTACTTGGCTCTCTTTCCTCAACATGGCCATTATTACATTACCAGATTACAAATCTCAGGTTTACATTTTGCCAGCAAAATAACTTTTCTTATCCCTGAACTGTAAGGTTAATTACGCCTCAGGGCCAACCCACCCCAAAGACCTGATGTGTCAGGTTATTGCTGATGGTTATTAGAAGTACCGCTTATGCCCCTTTCCCCCACAGCTGGGTGGCAGAAAGGTGAATCCCTCCCTGCCCACAACAGCAATATGCGGAACAACACAACTGACTTGCCTCCTGAAGGAAATTTTGCTCTGAGAGTAAGGGAATGGACTCATGTTTGCTGGCAGAGCACTTCCAGCAAGCCATGCTTTCTATGGCATGAGGGCAAATAGCTCACTGAGAGGGAGAAGCCTCTCACCTGAGGGGTTCCTCCCACCACTAAATGACTTAAATTGATAACGGGGGGAAAGGAGTGATCCAGCAACAATCAAATTAGCCGTTGGTAGGGCTCAGCGTTGCTAGGACTACCCCTACAAAGTGTGGCATCAGAGAATCAAGGTGACTCTAACCATAGACCTCTAGCCATTACAACAAGGGCCTAGATGTGGCAGACTTGAGGTACTGCCAGTCAAAACCTCTTCTTCCCCCAAATAAGATCACAGGAAGAGGCCTTCAATATTCACAGCAGCAACTAACTTCACAGCCACCTTTCTCTGTCATGGTGAGGTGACAGGCAATAGGCAGGAAGAGAATCCCACCTACCCATCCACTCTGCGGCTGCTGCCTTGACTAAGGCCTTCTTGATTCCTTCCTCTGGAAGCTGCTCCACAGAATGTTGGCCCAGGAGGCCAGAGATGGCCTTGTGGTTACATTCAGATGTCAGCTCTGAGAGGATGTCCTGATGTGGAACAGGTCCAGCTGAGTGGTGTTCCCGCCCTTGACACCAGGGGATGCTCAGAAATCCAAGGAAGTGAAGTCTCCAAAGTCACAGTCAAAGAGCTCGCTGATGCCTTCCCCCTCCTCAAGCCCAAAGTGATAGTCCTGGGTCTGGGGTGGTGAAAGTGCAATGAATTCAGAAGGCAGGAAGCTTGAGAAGTCATCTTTGCCTTGCTGGAGCAGGGCATCCACAGAGGCCAGTGGTGAGAGGTTTACGTCATCCCCAGGGCACTTCAGGGGCAGCGTACTCACTCCAGACAACAAGGGCTCTGCTGAGAGAGAAAAGGACAGATGGTAGGGTTTGATTTATAGAATTAAGACACACACACACACAGAGAGAGAGAGAGAGAGAGACCTTTCTAGGTGGGCTTCCTGAGTCAGAGGCAAAATGAAGCATGCTTTGCTTTAAAATAAGGGCCATGGGGCGTATTTACAGAAACACAGGAAGTTAATCTAGGCTGAGCTGAACCATTGGTCCATCTAGCCCAGTACTGTCAACATTAAGTGGTAATGGCTCTGTAAGGCTGCAGGCAGATCTCTTACCTAGCTTGGTTTGGTGATCCTTACTATTCTTTGGTGCTTTCCCATCCAGGTACCAGCCAGACCTAATCCTTTCTAGCAGATGAGACCAGATATATTCAAGATGGAATTCTGCCAAATGGTTTCATGTGGTTTTTCCAATCCTACCTGAGCTAGAGGTGTGCTGCTGAATTTTGGTAGTCCAAAACCATAAATCTGTCATGCCACCTCCTCCTCCCTTGACCCTTGCCCGGCCTGGCTAATCAAAGCAGCCAGGCCTACAACAACGGAATGGGCCACTGCAATAATTAATGGGTCTCTTCAGGAGGGTCTCTGGTCTCCTCAAGGAGACACTCATTAGGCCCATTAGGAAGAAACCAAATTTAGCGGTGGATGATATTGGCAATTATAGGCCCGTTGCTAATGTTTCTTTCCTTAGTAAAGTGGTAGAGAGGATGGTGGCTGACCAGCTTTAGGCCCTTCTAGATGAAACCAACACCCTGGATCTGTTTCAGTCTGTCTTCAGGCCGCGCTGCGGTATGGACGAGCGTGCCGTGGAGGCAGGAGAGGAGTGTGTGCAGCACCCATGGGACACCTGTGCAGCCACCATGCCAAATTGGGCCAAACCATGGTTCATGCCCATCTCTAGTCCTATCATATACACTATGAGAGCGAATAAAGAATGGTAAAAAGAATAATTAAAAGCAACAAAGGAGGAGAGGTAATCTTAAAATTGTTCCTTCTGAGTTAACCAATCAAAAAACTTGAAAACCTTTCCCAAAGAAATGGATAATGCCTGAGCACATACACCAAGCTCAGGATGCGTTTTTAAAAGCCTTCATATAAACCGAATTGCACTGCCCAAAATTGATCTGCAAGGGTGGGAATTGTGTGGCTCTCCAGGTTTTTTCGAACTGCAGTCTAACAAAACCAGTGCTGGTGGACAATGGGAACTGTAATCCAACAGTATGGGGTGGGCCGCTGTTCCCTAATTATGTCATATGGTCCACATGCATAGTCACAATTGAATGAATCCTCTCAGTTTTAACAGCAGGCGGTCTAGAGTTCTGCCTGCCACAAGGTTGGTGGCTTGTCTGCAGCAGCCGGAGCTTGGGAAAGTTACTTTTCCAAACAAAAACTCCCAGAAACCCGCAGGCATCATGTCCCGTGAACAAGTACTCCAAAAAGATAACATTTTCCAAGATCTTCCTTATTACAAAACGCACATAGCCACGGCAACTGAAGTGAGGTCCCACAAACTCTGTTATTTTCATTTTCACTGAACGTGGCCTTGGGGAGAGACAGGCCATGCCAGCTGACCGTGTCTTCTGCCCTTTGCACTTTCAATTGCATTTATGCACAGAGTCGTCTTCTTTACACCTCCACCAGGTATGTGGATGTCTTATGAGGGTTGAGGCGAGGAGCAGGTTTACTGAATCTCCATACGTGGAGGAAATGTCTGCAGAAACTACAGCTGCAAAGAAAATACCTTCTCGTCTAGGACAGAGGTGCAGAGACTTTTTTTCTTGAACCCCCAGGGCCATATTCCAACAGTGCGTCAATCAAAGCCAGGTGAACTTAGATGCACTGCTGAGTCATTTGGACATTTTCCCACCAAACACCAGTTCAATTCGATTCAGGTCCTTTCAAAACAGTATGTTACTCTAAGATCTTCCCCGGATGCAAAGCACAACTCAAGCCCATGCATGCAACTGTTTCCCAGGTAGATGGTGCAATTGTTACAATGTCAGACCAGGATTTAGGAGACTCGGTAGGCCATTATAAGGGTGACACAATACTATCTGACAAATACATGCGCCTGGAAACAAACGCCACTGTTGAATGCCAAATCCCAAAGCTTCTGCCTTGTTTACATCATACCTTGTTCTCCACTCAGCAATGGCAAGGTCATCTCCTGGGAGGGGTTCAGAAGCACTGAGGCTGTTGTCGCTGCTGCTTGTGAAGACACAGGAGGAGAAGGTTCCTCACCAGCTACTTTCAGTGGACTCTTGGTGGGACTGCAGACCCCAGAGGTCTCTTCTGGACACAGGAACACATCAATGGGGCCCTGGGTGCTTTTCACAGCAATCTGGAAAGCCTGGAAGAGAAGATGACATTTAAACTGACAATTAAATCATGCAGAGTTTTCCGTAGTGATTTCACTGCCTTCTTGGGAATATTAATTCCATAAAACATGGTGGCAATTGCTTTTTAATAAAAATTTGGATTTAATCAATTCTTGCAAAGTACTGCAGCCAAACACTGCAGGAAGAACCGGCTGCAAAAAACTCCATGAATCACAGCTTGTTCCACATGCTTCGTATTCCTAGATCCTCACGTGTTTCTACTCTGTGCTTCTAGTGAGTAATACTGCCTTCACCTGAAGCAGTATGATGATTATTATTAGTGGGCCATTTTCTTTAATTCACCAATTATATTTGGTAGGCTTTATACAGAACAACAGATGAGATGCCATTTCCTAGAAAAACAGATTTGTATTTTCTTGGAAAATCATGGTAGAATGTGGGGGATTCATTTCTGTCCATTATGTGATCTAGTTCAGTGGTTCTCAAACTGGGGTCCCCAGATGTTCTTGGACTGCAACTCCCAGAAATCCTGCCCAGCACAGCAAGTGGTGAAGGCTTCTGGGAATTGCAGTCCAATAACAGCCTGGGACCCCAGTTTGAGAACCACTGATCTAGTGGATTGTTTCACCCACCCAACCTAGGAAAACTTGATAGCAATAATGTTTCTGTGGTCCTCTCCTGTGATTATAGACTTGTGTTAAGTTATCTAGTTTGGATTAATTCACTATACCTTTAATTGTGCAAGTTACCTCTTACAGAACAGCATTTACTTCCTATGGAATTATCAGAAAAAGAACTATTATCTGGATGTGAAACAGGCAATACTGCTATGCAGCATAGATGCAATTATGTATAAAAAAATACTGTCTTGGAAAGCCACTGTGGAGTGGATTGTGTGTAACTGTCTCCTGACCTTATGATTTGAGCTCTTTCTTTGTTATATCCATTCAAAATGGTCTATAGGTAGAGCAGCCACTGCTTACATCCAGAACTTCATCCTGCATAAGGAGCGGCCAGCACAGCTGGTAGAATCTGGCTTCTAAAAGCTTGGTACAGAAGACATTCTGTCCACAAAGACTCAGTCAGTATGGCTACTACAATTCTGGGAAACAAAAAAAAATGTTACCTCTTTTGGGTCAGAGACTTGCATCTGTGTCTCTGGAGGGGCCTTGATCACCATCACCAGCTGTTCAGAGGGGTCTGCAATGCTGCGCAGGTCCTGGCAGGTCACATAAGCTGAAGTGTGCTCAGTTAAGTTTTGCCACAAAGAGGGTCACAGCCTAGGCACCAAGATACTAACTAAGATAATCTACACATCATTGCCAGGCACAGATCAACAGGTGTTGTCTCTCCTGGACAGAAAAGATGCCTATGACCATGAGCTACCAAACACCTACCCTTCTGTCTCAAAGACAGAAACACATGTAACATTGAGCAAAATTCTGTTGTCTTCCTGGATGTTGTTCATCCACAGATCTGTGTGTACATTTCTGGGATTTTCTCAATGACTTCAGCTCCATACAACAGATGCCCTCAGTTATAATATCTTGGTAACTCATTACTAAGAACAACAACAACTGTGTGCCATCAAGTCAATTCTGACTTATGGTGATGCTTTTCAGGATTTTCTAGATAGTCCTCAGATGTGGTTTACCATTCTTTCCTTCTGGAGGCACCCTGAGGATATGCAGTTGCTCAAGGCCACACTCATTAGGCTCTTGAAACAGAAAATAATCATGTGTGTGCAGGCATGTGTGCCTGCATCCATTTTTTTGGCTATAATCCCCTAAAAATTCAAAACTTCTGAATTTTTTTAAAGTTTCTTTCCTTTCCTTTCTTCCTTTCCTTTCCTGTGCTTCCCTTCCCTCCCCTTTTCTTTTTGTTTACAAATTTAATAATAATGTCCAGCAAGCTGATCAAATTACACCTATAAAACATGGCTAACAAAGAGATCAGTCCAAATAATTCCATCAGGCGTTCCTAAGAGAGGACACTGAAATATATATACATCACATGTGGCATGATGTGCTGCCTGGCTCCCAATCAATTTTTAATGGAAAAACACTGGAAAGGGTTATAATGAAACTGGATGTAATGAAATGTGACAATTGAGGCAATTCTCATAAAACTTACACACACACAAACAGCGTGGAATCTAGATTTCATTATTAAAAGAGGCTCTGTTACAGAGCTGCCAGGCAAAGATCAACAAGCATCTGAATGATTCAACCATTCCCTTTGTGCCTTCTCTCACGCATATGCACACACCTCTCTTCTACCTGAAAATGCACGGCCTGAACTTCCAGCAAGGTAGGGATTTTCCACTAGCTCACTGGGTGGGGAGGTGCAAATTAAAGCACCAACACCCACTTGTGGAATGTCAGGAGTGCAGCTACCTGTTCAGAAGGGAACACTTGGGCTGCTCTTGGCCTAACCCTGCAGTCATGAACCTGTTTTGTGTCCTCCAATCTGCTACTCCCACCCGATCCCCTTCAATCTCCAAAAGAAGGATATCCTTTGTTCTCAGGGTCTTCAGTGAGGAGCTTGAACTGAGTAGTACACATCTGGATGAGAGATTCCAGTTGTTGTTCTGCAACCTGAAGATCCTGGAGCTCCTTCACCAACTCCTGGCTCCTGGTACCTCCCACAGCAGACCGGCCACCCCTAGAAAACATAGTAAGCCAAGATGGAGGGACCATCAGTCACTTGATGGCTCCTAGGAGGAGTCGTTCTAGGAGGGCCAAGCAATGCTCTACCTGCTTTCACATGATCAAAGTTGATCAAGCACCTGGAAAAATACCCACATAAGTAGGCAAAGAGTTTTAATACTGGGAACTGCAAAAAACAAAACAAAGCAAAACCTGGTCCAGGGAGAATGTTTGCTATTCAGGATTCCAGCCACTTCATTCCCCTCTCCTACTTCTTATGTGGAGAGATGGGCTCAGAACAGCCAGTTGTTTCGTATTTCCAAAAGAAAAGGGCCTTTTAAGGCCAAGGGCAGGGCAGCCAGTCACTTGGTGCTTCAAAAAAAGAGGGGGCCACTTTGAAGGCATAAAACAAGCATGTAGGAGGATAATCTTTATATGGTGACTTATAGCCCCCAAAGGCTTTTCAGGGGGCTGCAATTTTTTTTATTTTGGGCCAAAAGATTTGGAGAGATATATCAGGGGGCTCCCTAATGTCTGAGGGAGGGCAAATGTGGCCCCCGAAGTTGCCCACCCTTGCTATACAATAAGCTTCCATATAAATCCGTTTTTCTGTTCCCAAATAAACAGATCCTCGCTGATTACCTGGCAGATACATAAGTATGAACCCAGCCTGGTGAAATACTGTTGCATGTATAGCCAGTATCTCAGTGAGGGTCTTTACTCAAGATACATTTGCTGGCCCAAACCTCTTACCTACTCCAGGTGCGATGGAAAGACAAAGGACTAGCAATTTAACAAACATATATATATTCACGAGGACAAAATGTGAGGTCAGTGCTGCGCTTGGAAACATCGGTTTTAGGACTGCAACCTCCCAGACACCCTGGCGAACATGGGTGTTCAGGATCTGTCCTTCCAGTAAGCACTCAGGGTTGAGTTCCTTCATAATGGATAGGTTTGTTCTCTTTGCCAGTGGTCCCCAACCTTTTCAATGCCAGGGACCAGTTTTGTTGAAGACCATTCTTCCAAGGACCGGCGTCAGTGAAGGGGAGGGCATCCGTGTGGGGGGGAACCACTACTAGGGGGATTTTTTTTAACCTAAGATGACTTAGGTTAAAAAAAGAGCAGAAAAGGAGGAAGGGAGGGAACCATGGGGAAAAGAGGAAAAAAAGGTCATAACTATGGCACACAGACCCCTCAGACAAAGGTTGTGTTTTTAAGCACAAAAAGAGAGAAGACACACAGAGAGAAGACAATGGGAGGGAGAGAGAGTTTACTTCCTGGGAGGAAATCGATGACAAACCTAGACAGCATCTTAAAAAGCAGAGACATCTCCTTTCTGACAAATGTCCACATAGTCAAAGCTATGGTTTTTCCTGTAGCGATGTATGGAAGAGAGAGCTGGACCATAAAGAAGGCTGACTGCCTAAGAACTGATGCTTTTGAATTGTGGTGCTGGAGGAGACTCTTGAGAGTCCCCTGGATGGCAAGGAGAACAAACCTATCCATTCTGAAGGAAATCAACCCTGAGTGCTCCCTGGAAGGACAGATCCTGAAGCTGAGGCTCCAGTACTTTGGTCATCTCATGGGAAGAGAAGGCTCCCTGGAAAAGCCCCTGATGTTGGGCAAGTGTGAAGGCAAGAAGAGAAGGGGATGACAGAGGACAAGATGGTTGGACAGTATAATCGAAGCGACCAACATGAATCTGACCCAACTCCGACAGGCAGTGGAAGACAGGAGGGTGTGCTCTGGTCCATGGGGTCACAAAGAGTCAGGCACAACTAAACAACAACAAAGAGAGGAACTTTGTTGGATGCCAATTACTATGCAGCTGATTGCTAAATTTAGATACATAAGATTCTAAAACGCCTTTTTAAAACAGAACTCAATGTTTGCCTCTCCATTCCAGTTCCCCCCCCCCAAAAAAAACATACATTAAGAACACAATGTTGGCATCAGTGACAAGGATACAAAAGGAGGATGAGAAATTTCTCAAGGTTATTGTCCAAGATGCCCCCTATGCCTGTACATAACAGCTCCAGTTGTGTAATCTATCAGCTTCAGCAAAAGAACAACACACACAAAAACAAAAAAATCCTATCTCTTTGATACCCCATACATTGCTTAATAATACCTGGGACAGATCAGTCTCATAGAAAAGAATACTGGGGAGAAGGGGCGATTCATAACCTTCTGTATTCCCTTGAGAAGGCTTGGGAAGGCACTGAAGACAAGGGATTAAATTTCAGTTTATGGCTACCAAAAAAAGAAAAAAAAAAACACTAGGGAGTTCCAAGCAGGTATAATGGAGGGAATAGCACAGAGACATATGGGGAACCAGACTAGTTTACAACCTCCATGGCCCCTCTCCCCCGCAACTCAGCTGTAATGATCACTCAGGTATTCATATAAGATAACCCCCTCCCCATACATACATACACATACACCACAGAGGCAAATACAGTGGTGCCTCGCTTAGCGAGGTTAATCCGTTCCGGATTAACCCTCGCTCAGCGAATCCATCGTTAAGTGAAACAAAAAAGCCCATAGGAACGTATTAAAACTGATTTAATACGTTCCTATGGACTTAAAACTCACCGTTCTGCGAGTTTTCTCCATTGCGGCGGCCATTTTGGATGCCTCGTTAGCGAGGCAAAACAGCGGTCACCATTTTGTTTTAGCGGTGGCCATTTTGGAACCGCCGATCAGCTGTTCGCTATGCTTTGATCGCGTTCACGCGATCATCGCATAGCGAAAAAAGCCCATAGGGGCCATCGCTGAGCGAATGCTCCAGCGATGGCCCGGGACCCATCGTTGTGCGGTTTCATCGCATAGCGAAGCGTTCGCTATGCGAGGCACCACTGTATATACAAACATACATATACAAATGCATATGTATACACACAGGTAGACAGAGAGACCGACAGACAGCTACTTTGTAGGTAGGTAGGTAGGTAGGTTTCAGCCAGACATCCTGGAGGGTGAAGTCAAGTGGGCCTTAGAAAGCCTGGCTAACAACAAGGCCAGTGGAGGTGATGGCATTCCAGCTGAACTATTTAAAATCTTAAAAGATGATGCTGTTAAGGTGCTACATTCAATATGCCAGCAAGTTTGGAAAACTCAACAGTGGCCAGAGGACTGGAAAAGATCAGTCTACATCCCAATACCAAAGAAGGGAAGTGCCAAAGAATGCTCCAACTACCGCACAATTGCACTCATTTCACACGCTAGCAAGGTTATG